TTTTTTTTTTTTTTAAGAGCATGTCTTTATTTTGATAGTGTTCAAATACAATGTGTTATAAAGGAATAGATAATAAATGGCTTTATTTTTTCAGTAAACAAGATAAAGCTTCTTCAGAGGAAGAAAAAAATGAATGTGTTACAAATTCATTTGAAGGCTCATTAGCAACAAAAAATGAAGAAAGCATAACAGTGTCAAATAAGGAAAATGATACCTGTCTTGAAGATCAGAAAACTGGTTTAAAGAATATCTTCAGCCATGATTCAAATATTGATGCAGATAAAGTAGAAAAGGAAAAACAAATAGAGCACGTTTGTCAGAAAATGGAGTTGAAGATGTGCCAAAGTTCAGGAAACATAATTTCTTGTGATCAGAATGAAGATTCCAACTCCAGTGAAGCTAAGTTTTCTTCAAAGAATGTTAAGGATTTGCGGTTAACATCTGGTGATGTTAGCATTGATCAATTTTTGAGAAAAAGAGATGAACCTGAATCTATTAGTTCTGATGTTAGTGAGCAAGGCAGTATTCATTTAGAACCTTTGACTCCATCAGAGGTACTTGAGTATGAAGCCACAGAGATTCTTCAGAAAGGTAGTGGTGATCCTTCAGCCAAGACTGATGACGTAGTATCTGATCAAACTGGCAGTGTTCCTGGGGAAAATAGCCCTAGCACAACAGAGACAACAGTAGACCTGGCAGATGAAAAAGAAAGAAGTTGAAATTTATTAGTCATTCTAAGTTTAGTGTACCAATGGTAATAACATTTGGAACAGTGCTATCAGGTGAACTCAGTGGTGCTGTTCTGTAGAGTTCAGAAATAGAAAAATGTGAGGGAGGTCATTCATCTACACTTTACCTGTATGTTCAATCCAGGTTATTAAAGAAATCAATTCACCCATAATAGCATGATTTGTATTTCCAAAAAGCCTTTAAAACTATTATGGATTTTAATGAAAGCTAAGTTTGCAATGGAAAAGTCTCATTTAACAGTTTTTGAAGAGAAGTTGGTGGCCAGTATGAGTTGATTTTTAGAATATTAATTATAATGATAAAGCTTTTGAAACTTCCATCAGTCCTAAGCTAAAAGTTCTTAGTACCTATATATTCTTTTCAGGTTACTTAAAGGAAGAGATTTGGAAACCACATACCTTTTGGGAATAATTGATTTAAAGTAATGGCTGATAGGCATTGTTAACGAAGGCTTCATTTCGAGTATGATGCTGGTAAATGGGGCATGCTTAGAATGCTAAGTTAATTGATCTAATGAGAATTTGGATGAACGTAAAGTTAATTTTGGATTTAATATAACATTCCAGACTGTCACAAGCATGTAAACAGAATATTTGAATCTGTGTACCTCCCTACAAGTGTGAGCCTGCAAGGCTGTAAGCTTACCTTAATTAAACTTTCAGTGAAAGTGACATTATTAATATGTAAATTTATATTTGTGCTTTTTGTCAGTGTGTAAGCTGTGCAGAAATCCCTTGATGTGCTAGTTGTATAAAATAGAAACCCATTGTTGAAACTCCTGTAGCTATTATGCTTTTAATATTGTTTTAATGATCTTTAGAAATAGACCCATAAAAATGGTCTGGACACCAAACCAAAGTATGGTATAATGTAGATATTGTAAAGCAGTAAACAGAAAACATGTCCTGGCTCATGCCATGTTTAAGTGACTTTTTCTTTAATTGTAAAATAGAAACTTCAAATGGGACCTAAAGCAGTGATGTAAAAAATTGGTTTGGGACATTTAGTCTAATTTATCCATATCCTATTTTATCCACAAAATGGCTGCTAAATAGATTTTCCAGTTGTTTTTTATCATCTAGAAAATAGTAGATATAGAAATAAATAATATGGATAAAGTAGTTTGCTTTAAAGTACTTAAAATTTTATTTAAAATGCTACATTTTTACTTCTTAAAATGTGCTTTGAATTCTTAAATTTTGTTTCATTGAATGTTAAATGTTATAAATGGCTATTAAAATTCTGCTGTATATAGTAGTTTTTGAGTAAATATTTGCAATAAAAATCTGTCCCTGAATAATTTTATTTTTCAGAAACCTGCTTGAGTTGGATTACCTTTGGCGCCTTTAGAAATTGTATACTTGTTCAAGGAAATTTCATGTTGAAGTTAGTGGTAGGATTTCATTCTGTATTCTTTAATTGATGCATGATTTATTTTAAATTAGGACTTAAAGTACAGGGGAAAATACTGTTAATATTTACAGAGAATATATCTGCTTTAAAAATTCTTTTATTGCAAGAGAAATATAATTTACTATTCTAGTTTTCTATCTGCCCAGCAAAGTAAAAAGAGTAAACAGGCAAAATATATTATTGATTTACTTTCTTGAAAAGTTTTTTTTTTTTTTTGAGGGGGTCACATATTTTCATCTTTCCTGCTACCAAGAAAAGATAGGGAGAGAGGGACTTTTTAGCTGTTACCCTTCACCTTGTTGAAACATAAAACTATAGCAGACAAGATTTTTGGAGTAATTTAAACCTTAGAAGTGAAGGAGTAGAAGAAAGTCTATGTAAAGACTATTTTCTGAATCTTATTCAATTAATCGGCTGGCAGATCACCTAATGTACAAAACCCTAGATCACTGTGCCAAAATAAGTCTCTAATTGACACTGTTATCCCTTTGAGCTTTGGGTAGTTCCTTCTTCTGTGGCTATATACCTTTAGAGTAGTTGTGTTCAACATAGCTAATCAGTGAACTGTTTATGCCTATCCATTAGGAGAAGAGGAAACTGTACCAAACTCTAAGGAAAGTCTGGCAATGAAAACAAAAGTGTAGTTGAAATAAGCATCGTATTTGGTAACATAATTGGTTTATGTTCTCATACCATCTCCTTATTTCCATTGAGGAACAAACAGTTCAGGTGCACAGACCAAGCCTTTGAGTAGCAGTGCTTTAGAACAGCGGACAGCAAACTTCTGTGTAGGGCCAGATAGTAAATAATTGTGGACCATACGGTCACAATTATTCTCAACTCTTCCTTGTAGCTTGAAAGCAGCTGTAGATGTAATGTAAATAATAGCTTGTTTGTGTTCCAATAAAACTTTATTTACAAAACAAGAATGTTTGGCCCATGGATTGTGGTTTGCCTTTGCCTGCTTTAGAGTGCTTAGACTGACTTAATCTGACACTGAAAGCCAGTGATGCACTCTAGTGACTGTTTGCCTAGGAACTACCTACTAAGGTGCCTTAGTGTATAATAGTTCCCTGTTACCTGACAATAAACTTAGGATTGATTTTAAGTGCAGTTCAGTGACACTAAGAAGCATTATATTCATTTTGTGGATTTACTTTTAATTTACATTGAAAATCTGAATGCCATATTTATTTGTATTCTTTCTTTTCCCTTTGTGTCTCTCCAATAGGGAGGAAATTGGAATTTTTTTCATCCATGAATTTTTTTAAGAACTATTCTAAACATTTTAAAAAGGAACTGATAATATACAAGTCACTTTGTTTTAGCTGTAAGTAAAAAGATGAGGAAACCAAATATCTAGGCAGTTATTGGCCTAAGGTTAAAAAGCTAAGATTTGAATGAAATTTGATCTTGATTCTGAAACAGAATCTGAAGCAGGCTTCAAGCTCTGAGGTGTCAGCGCAGAGCCTGGCTCAGGGCTCAAACTCCCGAACCATGAGATCATGACCTGAGCCAAAGTTGGATGCTTAACCAACTGAGCCACTAAAGATATACTTTATATAATAATTATATAAATTTAACATCATTAAATTTTTGTAGGCTTCTGTGATGTCATTTTTTACTTCATGGTTGACATGATCATTTTTGTTCCATCAAAATCATTACTCCAAAACCACTCACTTGTACTGACTTCAATGACATAGTACTTTTGTATGTATGTAGACACTACAGAAGAAGTGCAAATATTTCATTTTTACTAGATTACCTTAACAGTAAGACTTGTTTTTTCAGTTAAGAAATGAAACATTTAACTTACCTATTTCTAAGTATTAAAAGAGAGAAAGTTATTTTTAAATTATTTTTTTCAAATGAGACACATGTGCAGATGCATGTAGACAAAAAAATAGTATTAGATTTTTAAAAGTTATGGCAATGTTTAATTTTTACCCCAAAAGCTATAAATTAAAAGATACTTGTAAGGAATTAAACACATCTTTAGCAACAAATGTAACTTTGTAGAGGAATGAGATATCCTGAGAAATCACTTTTACAGTTATGTAAATTGCATGTTAAAAATATTATAAAACCAGTTTCATTATTTAAATGAATACACTAAGCATAATGTAGTCTTCTTTGATGACACAGTGTATCACCATGAAGATTATTGAGCTAAGCTCAATAGATGTTAATGGCCTGAATACCTGCTATAGATGTTAATGGCCTGAATACCTGCTGATCACAGAAGTTACCTTGGATTTTGGTTTCTAGAAAATATCCCAGGTACATCTGGGGTCATTTGGCTTTTCCAAAAACAGAACAGAAAAATTGACTGTATCACTCACCCAATCCAACCTCTTTTTAAAAATGACTAAAACCCTTTAAATCTTAAAGTATAACTTGCCATTTGTGGGGAATTTGGGAGAATTTAAACTATAATTTTAAATTTTTTAAATATTTCAAGTCTTCATCCACTGCCTTAGAAACATGACTTTAATTGTTCTGTATCAGGGGCTAGCAGACAGTGACCCACAGTTGGCCACCTGTTTTTATAAACAATTTTGTTTATAAAATACCCATATCATTTGTTTATATATTGTCTGTTGTAGTTTTTGCACTGCAATAGCACAACTGTACCGGACAGAGACCATTTGGCTCACAGGCCCAAAGCTTAAATCTGGCACTTTAAGAAAACGTTTGCTAGCACCTGCTCTATATTTTTATGTAAGTATATCATAATTTTATAATTATTTTATTGTCACTTTATAAACACTACAGGGGAGCTCTCACTTCATAAATTTTGGTCTTGTTATTACCTGTAGGAAGTCTAAGTGCAATACTAGATTGAAGAATATTTAGTTTTTAAGTAGCCAAATACCAATACTTAACTTTAATTATCTTCCCATGATGCTTGTGGAAAGCTTCTTGTTCCAGTATGAACTCCTAGAGTTAAGAGTTTACTTATCTAGATTTTATTTTGACTCTTCAAACAAATTTAGCTTTTTTAACCTAATGTGACTTTAATTTATGCTATTCACCAAGTATTTCCAATGTGTGGTAATGTGACTGTTACCTAGCCAGTGAGTTGTGAGTGAAAAGTTATTTCAATTTGGATCATTTAAGTGTTGATACGAGACTCTTTAGAACTTTCTTTTCTCTCTGACATGGTGATGATGATTGCTGCATCAGGCTGGGTTCCTGAGGGACTGTAAACCTAGCCTCCCTGTTTAGATGGACATATAGCGTGAGGGAGAAATAACCATTTTTGTTTTAGTTAATACAGTTAGGGAATACCTCATTTGATACAGGATTAGTCCTGAAAGCAGAGTGCTGCCATAAAAAGAAGCAAAATTGAACTAAATTAAACTATATTGCATTGGCTTAGGTGACAGGTGGTAAAGCTACATGAGGTGATCCACATTTGCTGTGGTGAAACGTTTGGTAAACTTGCCTGCAATACTTGGAAGAAAAATAATATAGTGAAGTTTTATCTCTATTGGAAGAGTTTGGAGAACAATTTTGTTTATTAGTTGCATTTGACAGTTGCATTTTAAGA